AATAATTTTTTGTTTTTTTTTTTTTTTTTTTTTTTTTATATTTTATTTTAGGAGCAGAAATAAGAAAAAAAAAAAAAAGAGTAAAAATAAAGTGAAAAATAAATAAATAAATAAAAAAAAACAAAAGAAAGAAATAATAATAATATGTTAATAATAATAATAATAATAATAATAATAATAATAATAATATGTTTAAAAAGTGGGGCGGTGGAAAGAAAAATATATATATAAGATAAAGAGGGTTTGGGCGGTGGAGAAAAGTTTAGAATAGAAAAGTTTATATAAAATTGGGGGTAGTGCTTTATAATAATGAAAATAAAGGTGAGGTAGTGGATGTGTTTGGAAACCGTGTGAAAGATATATTGAATATGTTAAAGAGAGTGCAGGTTGGGGCTTGTGTAATCCAGATTCCTTCTATTTAATATCATCCACTGAATGTACCTCAAGGTCCATATTCCCACAATCATGATATGACAGTGCTTCACCACATCATCAAGACCTAGCTCGTAGATGGGGAGCTGGTCACTGTTCCACTGTAATACGAGGAATAGAAATATCAACAACGGCCACTTCAACGGAAGGGCACTTGAGGGCTATCACGGCCATGGTAGGGCCACCAACATACCCAGCTCCAATGCAGCAAATCTTCACCAGGTCCATATTCCCACAATCATGATATGACACTGCTTCACCACATCATCAAGACCTAGCTCGTAGATGGAGCTGGTCACTGTTCCAGGCTGTAATACGAGGAATAGAAATATCAACAACGGCCACTTCAACGGAAGGGCACTTGAGGGCTATCACGGCCATGGTAGGGCCACCAACATACCCAGCTCCAATGCAGCAAATCTTCACCATTTTTCTTCTCTATCTAGAACCTCCTCACGCGGAAGATCAATAGAGAGAAAGTAGAACGAGAATCTAGGGAGAGGAAGTGTGCTAAAGAGGTTGAAGTTGGAGTCGTCACGGGAGCCGCCGGAGTTTTGGTCAGAGAAGAAGCCGGAGACTGAGCCAGCATCTTGTAGAGAGAGAAAGGCCGTGGAGAGGAGAGAGAAAGAGCCAGCATCTTGTTTCTCTTGTTTGTCTTTCGGTTTTCGCCGAGAGAGAGAGAGAGAGAGAGTTTGCATGATCTCCAACTCCACAAGTGTTGCTGAGGTGTTCTCGAGGAGTGATCATAAGTTTGATCTGATGTATGCGAAGAGGGCTTTTGTGCACTGGTATGTGGGTGAAAAGTATGGAGGAAGGAGAGAGAGAATTAGAAAATTTGGGTTTGTTCGGCGGACGGCCAAGGCGAGGCTGCCGCCCGCCGGTGAAGCGGAATCACTAAATTCTTAACCTTGCTCTGATACCAAGTTAAAATAACTGATGTATTATTATTGATTGTATTGTTGTGTATATGTATATTACAAGTATTCCTATTATATAGGAGAGGATTTGGGAGTAGGTAAGGAGTAGGTGTAGGTGGTAGTGGAGGTGGTAGGTGGAGTGGGTGGTAGTGGAGGTGGTAGGTGGAGTGAGTGGTAGTGGTAATTTACATTTACACAATTTACATTAACAATGTTGAACACAATAATTTCTTTCTTTCTTTCTTTTTTTTTGGATGGAGTATTTTCCTACTTTGATAGATTCTGTAGCAGGATTTTTGGGAGGGTTGTATAGTCAAGTGGATTGCTTTTGTTGGCCTTTTTGGGTCTTTCGGCTTCTGTATGTGGTATACCTCACATGTGTGCTCTGTTTTCAGAGCCCTTTAAAAGATCTTTTTGCTCATCAAAAATTAAAAACACACACACAAAAGAAAGGGAAAAAAAAAGAAAGAAAAAGAGAGAAAAAAATTGCTGCATATTATTTTAAATTTTCATCAGCTTGTTCTGATTATGCTCATGACATGGATGTGAAGTAACAAAATGTAAGATTGAACGAAATAGAAATGTAAAAGAGAAAGGTGAAGAAGAAGCTTTATGGTCTCTTGACTAAAAAATATATGAAGCATTAGAGAAATATGGCAAAGATTTGACTGCCATGGCAAGATCTGGAAAGCTTGATCCTGTTATTGGAAGGGATGATGAAATACGCAGATGCATCCAGATTCTGTCCCGGAGAACAAAGAACAATCCTGTGCTAATTGGTGAGCCAGGTGTTGGGAAAACTGCAATTTCAGAAGGGTAAGCTCTGTTCTAGTGAGGCACAAAAATATTGGTGTGTATGAAGTAAGGTTTCAGATATTCTTCTATACCTAGGACTTCATTTCCAGTTCTAGGATTAGCTTGACGCAGTTTTTGTTTGTCTATGCTCATTCTGCTTGGTGCACATATCATTTACCATTTCTTAAGACCAGAAACAGTGAGGAGAATAACTCAAATATAAGCCATGTCTCAGCAGTGGTATTTTCACCTAGGCTGGACTGTGTTATCCTATTTAGAAGTCCTCCATCAACAGTTTTTTTTGTTCTTTAAAAAGGATTTCTCAATTTAGAAGTCCAGCACTATTGTAGGCTGATTTCTGTTTAATTTGATGATATCTTTCTCCGATGTGTATATTTACATTGCTATACCTCTTTGACAGGCTTGCCCAGAGAATAGTGCAAGGGGATGTGCCTCAAGCTTTAATGAACCGAAGGGTGAGTAGCAAATCTAGAAGTCTACCACCAAGTTCTCCACAGAAATAAGTGGTTTTATTTCTTCCTTTTAGTCCTCTCATTTTGAGGTTTTCGGGGTGGAGACTGGGGAGGATTAAGGAGTGTTATGATGATATATGACTGTCATTATCTGTGCGATGTTCTAAATCTTGAAATAATACAATTTTTGTTTCCAGTTGATATCCCTTGACATGGGTGCACTCATTGCTGGGGCAAAATATCGTGGAGAATTTGAAGATCGGCTGAAGGCTGTGCTCAAGGAAGTAACTGAATCTGACGGGCAAACTATTCTTTTCATTGACGAGATCCACACAGTTGTTGGGGCAGGTACTTGACTGGGTAGCTTGTTTTTTTTCAGAAAGTTGAGATGGCATCGATGGTTAATTGTTCTTTTTATTTGGGTAAATCTGTGTGTGGGGTTGAGTTCCTACAATTTCTTTAAATCACTCCCATATATAAATAAAATGAAAAGTTGATGCTTTTCTATTTTCTTTATCATATTACATATAAAATTGATACCTAGAATTTTTTTTGATTTCCAATATTTTGGGATGAGATTTATACATGAAAGCAAATGTTCTCTTGACTTCTGTTTCAGGTGCCACTAGTGGTGCAATGGATGCTGGCAATCTCTTGAAGCCTATGCTTGGTCGTGGAGAGTTGAGATGCATTGGTGCAACAACATTGGATGAATATCGTAAATATATTGAAAAGGATCCAGCTTTGGAGCGCCGTTTCCAGCAAGTTTATGTTGATCAACCTACAGTAGAAGATACAATCTCTATACTTCGTGGACTACGTGAAAGATATGAGCTGCATCATGGAGTCCGCATATCTGACAGTGCACTTGTTGAAGCAGCAATTCTCTCAGATCGTTATATCAGTGGGCGTTTTTTACCTGACAAAGGTGATGCAGATAACATTCATAGGGATCTTGTTTTACTGAAAATTGCTCAACCCCGATTATGATTTGCCTCCATGCATGGTAATCCAGTATCGAGACATAATACTAATGCTATTATATCTGTTCTTTTTAGTGAAAAGGTTAGGTTAATCTGTGTTTTTAACTGCATATTAAGCTTTAACACCCATGCTTATTCCAACTGCAGCTATTGACCTAGTTGATGAAGCAGCTGCTAAACTGAAAATGGAAATCACTTCGAAGCCTACTGCCCTTGATGAGATAAACCGTTCGGTGTTGAAGCTGGAGATGGAGAGGCTTTCTCTTATGAATGATACTGACAAAGCTTCAAAAGACAGGTTGAATCGCCTTGAGGCAGAGCTCTCTCTCTTGAAAGAGAGGCAAGCTCAGCTGAACGAGCAATGGGAACATGAAAAAACTGTCATGACACGCTTACAGTCGATTAAAGAAGAGGTATGTCATTCCTTTTCTGCTCTCTCTTTTTCTACTTCAGTATTGTGTTCAGAGAGGACATTGCCATGTGTCCTCTTATTTTGGAAAATGCAATTTTCTGAATTCTGGATTAAATTGAAATTGGTAAAAATCTTTAGAAATTCAAAACTAAAGGAATAAAACTTAGGGAAGCTCCGTCTGCAAATTATCTAATGATATGCTTATTTTTACAGATTGACAGGGTAAATCTTGAGATCCAACAGGCTGAGCGGGAATATGATCTTAATCGTGCTGCTGAACTCAAGTATGGGAGTTTGAACTCTCTGCAGCGCCAACTTGAAGTTGCGGAAAAAGAATTGGATGAGTATATGAAGTCTGGGAAGTCCATGCTCAGGGAAGAAGTTACTGGGAATGACATTGCTGAGATTGTCAGTAAATGGACTGCTCGTACTGTTTCCAAGCTACAACAATCAGAGAGGGATAAGCTGCTACATTTGGAGGAAGAGTTGCATAAACGTGTTGTGGGTCAAGATCCTGCAGTGCGGTCAGTTGCCGAGGCTATCCAGAGATCACGAGCAGGCCTCTCAGATCCTCACCGTCCAATTGCTAGTTTTATGTTCATGGGTCCTACAGGTGTTGGAAAGACAGAGCTAGCGAAGGCATTGGCTTCCTACATGTTCAACACTGAAGAAGCTCTTGTACGAATTGATATGAGCGAGTACATGGAAAAACATGCGGTTTCAAGATTGATAGGTGCCCCACCTGGTTACGTAGGGTACGAGGAAGGTGGGCAGTTGACAGAGACAGTTCGCCGGAGGCCATATGCAGTTATCTTGTTTGATGAGATAGAAAAGGCCCACTCTGATGTGTTTAATGTGTTCCTTCAAATTCTGGATGATGGAAGAGTAACTGACTCGCAGGGTCGCACTGTTAGTTTCACCAACACTGTCATCATTATGACTTCAAACGTGGGGTCGCAATACATTCTAAACGCAGATGATGACACGATGCCAAAGGAGATGGCCTATGAGACTATCAAGCAAAGGGTAATGGATGCGGCAAGATCGATTTTCCGCCCTGAGTTCATGAACCGTGTCGATGAGTACATAGTGTTCCAGCCTCTGGACCGTCAACAGATAAACAGTATTGTCAGGTTACAGGTAGGCTTGTCCAACCTGCTAATTTTGAAAGCTTCTCTTGCTTGTTGAGGGGAAATGTCCAATGCTTGAATTATTTCAGTTATACTTAGAGCTTACACTCCGTTTGTTTGGATGAAAAATATTTTTTGGCATTTGGTACGGCGGAAAACGAAAATCAATGGAAAATAAGTCTATTTGAGCTGAAAAAGTTTCACTTTTAGAAGGTGGAAAATGTTTTCCGGACCAAAACGTACTAATACCACCACACTACCACCACTACCATCACCTCCACCACGCCGCCACCGCCACCGCCACCATCTCCATCTCCATCTCCAACAACCCTGCTAATACCACTATTAATACCTTAGTTTTAAGGATGCAATTATTAGTACATTAATTTTAAGGATTCAATCAAACATAAGAAAACATTTTCGGAAAAAATTTTCCATAGAAAAAAATTTCACCAAAATAAATGGAGCGTTACAGTCAAATTCAAAGTTTTCAATCGCATTGTTTGTTCTGCGGCAATGTTGTCTTTTTGTCTTACCTTGTATTTGCTTGTGTATTATAGTTGGAACGAGTGCAGAAGAGGATAGCAGATCGGAAGATGAAAATCCATGTAACTGATGCTGCTATTGAACTCCTTGGAAGTCTTGGGTATGACCCCAACTATGGCGCTAGGCCAGTCAAACGGGTGATCCAGCAGAATGTCGAAAATGAACTTGCAAAGGGCATCTTGAGAGGAGAATTTAAGGATGAGGACAACGTGCTAATAGACACAGAAGTTACAGCGTTTGCAAATGGGCAGCTTCCCCAGCAAAAGCTGGTCTTCAAGAGGTTGGAACCTGGTTCAGATACTCCTGCAGAAACCCAAGAAGCGTTTTCACAGACTCTCTGAGTCACTCTTTGTAGTGAGGATACCTTTATTTATTTACCTCACGACAGAGTTTACAAAGCCATGAGATATAAGGCACCTATTTTTAGTATTGAATTTTGTTTAGTCTTTGTATAAAACACCTCTCTTATAGCAGGCTGATGCTTTGAATGGAAGGATATTCTTACAGAATTTCTTTTTGGCAGATAATTTCTTCTTACAATTTTTGCTCTTCCTAGGCCTTCTGAAAACACTGCCTACTACTGGAACATGATTTCATTTTGCCCAAACGGAGGGAGTTAAACGATAACAAATTTTATGTTTTGTAAAATTTTTATACACCCTACTTGGCACCATAATTAACCTTCATCCTATCAAGACCACACCCCTTACCCACCATCAGCCCCTACTAGTTGCCCCACCCTAGCCCCTACCCGCCTTGCCACAGCCACTCTCTCTCTCTCTCTCATGTTACAGAGGTGAGGGTAGGGAGGGCTGGGGTGGCACCGAAGGTTGAGGGGGTTGCAAGAGTGGGGGTCATGGGGTGAGGTGGCTATAGAAACGGTGGGAAGAGGGATGGTCATGGGTTAAGTTTGTTGCAATATTAAAAATTAAAATTAAGTATAATATTTTAGTGTTTTAATTTTATTACAATGAAAAAAAATTATATATATTTTTTTAGATTGAGAAGAAAATTTTCATTGTAAAACTAATAAAAAATCGGATCAATCTCGTACAGCGGTAGCAACAGATCTCATAAAGAGATGATAAGCTTTCGTAGAAGGAAGAATTTAGCCTCCATAGAGGAGGAGAAAAAACTCTCACAGAGGAGGGACATAACCTCCACACAAAGAGGTTTATTACAACAAATAGTAAAAAGATAAAATAAAAAACTGAAAACAACCAAATCCAAGTCGCCAAACGCATCCAAATCTCCATTACATTGCAACTTTCAACTTCAAATTTGAAGACCCCACCTCCGTTGGTCAAAATGGAATATTGAGATTGAGGTAGTTGGTTAGCGTGAAACGAATGCGTTAAACAACGTCAGTCTTCGGATTGTGAGTAGATCTGAAATCATATTTTAAAGTTTTGGATGCAAGAGTGAAAGTTTGGGTAAAAGCCAAAGATTAGATCTGGAAGATTGAAAAGAGGAAAAAGGCAATATCAACACTAGTGGCTAGAGGCAGATCTGAAGGAGATGAAGTAGATCTGGTGAGGGTGGATCCACGAAAGCGGGAAGCTGGTAGATCTGATGGTAGTGTGTGGTGATGGCGGTGTCGAAAATAGTTCGAAGGACAAGCTTCCATTATTATTAAGCAAAAAAAATAAAGAAAAGGAAAAGTGGGGTAGAAGGAGGAGGAGGTCGGTGGCCAGAACTCCTCCCTACCCCTGGCAGCACACCTAGCAAAAGGCTTAGACAGGGAAGCCTGGAGAGAGATGCTCTGAGTTTAGAGAGAGAGAGAGAGAGAAAATAAATTACATATATAAATATAATCGGGACGGGAGTTGGGTAAAATAGGGCGAGAAAGCAAAACTCATCCCCGCATCACTTCCTCAATTGGGGAAAACCCGTGCGAGGCGGGTTGGGGGATATGGGTGCGGGGCGGGGAAAATGCCCATCCCTAAGAGAGGATGGGGGTGGCAGCTGGAGTTGGAGAGGGATTGGAGGGCGACAGTTGAAGTTGGGAATGGCAGGGGGAAGCTGGCGGGAGCTAGTGGTAGTGACTGGATGGTGGTAGGGTTAGGGGTGGGGTAAAATTTGAAATTTTATGATAGGTTAAAATTGTATTATTATTATTATTATTATTATTATTATTTTCGAGTAGATGGGAGTCTAAAGAACAAATTGAGATGCTGTTAGCAACAATTTTTTTTTTTTGGTGGCAAATTATGCCGACAATTTATGAAATAACATGACTTGATAATCTGAAAAGGCTGATATTGGAAAGTGAATGAAGGGATATTTTTAATTTCTCTATTTAAATAATCAGCATTTATATTTCTGGAACAATATGTTACATTCCATTTGTCGGGCAAGTAGTGTTTTCATTCTGCTAATGCACAAGAAAACGTTTGTATTTTCATATCATATGTTTGTTAACTTCCCAACAATTGAGAGGCCACGCGAGATTGACAAGGTCCCAAAACAAAAATAATTCACAAATTGTGGGGATATATTTTCTGAATACCAACACGTGGCATGGTGACGCCGACGTGTCAGCCGAGGTGCCACGTGTCCTGGTAGTTACGCCGAGGTGATCTCGGAGTTGCTGAGGTTATCTCCAAAGATAACGGAATCCGAGATAGGCAGATAGGGGACAGAGTCCTAAGACGAAGAGGGGACTTAACCTAGATAAGGAAAGGGAGTTTATCTTTATCTCTTAAAGAGTCCAAAGTAAACATTGATATGAAGTTCATAGAAGTCATACTTCTAATGGGACTTGGATTGAGTATATTATAAAAGAGAGGCACCCCCGTGGGTCTAAGGTATGCAATTTATGTTTTGAGTATTCAGTTTAGCACTTGATTTATCTTTGAGAGATATACTGACTTGATCGTCGGAGTGCCCCCGGGTGAAAGAACCACCACCGGAGCTTTTTATTTCTGTTGCAGGTTGCTAAAGCATCATTCTACTGTCTCTCCAGCTGATCACTAAACGGGCAGTGTGGTCAGATTTTCACCACACACAAATGATAATTGACAGATATCTTATTGGGTCAATGGTAACAAAACCACAAGCCTCTTGTATTATCTAGAGAATCCAACATAACAGCATTTTTGGAAAAATTTTGTACAAGACATGCTATCTACAGAGATGAGTCAAACCTTTGTTAACTACTGATTAATTTACGGCACTGCAATACAACATTCACATAGAAACCTGTTTGCCATTGAAGCCTTCTGTAACCTCGGTACATATGTAATCCTTCTTCCCTTGGTGTTGCTTCTTTACTCTGTGATGTTACTCATGGAACTGAGGAGGTCCTTTTCGACCGTCGACCACCATTAGTATTTACTTGAATTTCTCCTTATGAATAAGATGATATCCCATTATTTTAATACCACCATCTTATGCTAATCTTTCCTCTCCATTCTCCTATAACAAGAAAATGTTAAGAGATATCATAGGCAACCTTGCTGCAAACAAACAAGAATTATGAGGTTAGCCACCAATTCTGGGTTCAGTATATCAAAACAAGGATGAAGCTCGATCACCTCCAATCATATGATCCCAAGTAATTTTCACACACACACACACACACACACACACAATGAAATCTGAGAATATTTTGAACGGATACCTAAGAGTGTGTTTGTTTTAAGGATTATTGCATGGATTGGGCTATCCATTGTTTGGTTCAATTTTTTTGTTCCAGATTAATAGTTCATCTGGACTGTTAGTCCTCATACGAGGAATTATATATCTTTGGGGGAGGGTGTGATTATTTTCATGGATTATATCTTATGGGACTAATGTGTAAAATGTCCATTTTACCCTCATGCTATTACTTAATAAACAATATTAAAAAAGGGTAAACAGTCTTTTGAACATTTATAAATTATTTTTTAGTGTGTTAATTTAAAATTATATTAAATAAAAATAAAAATATAATTAATTTAATTAAAATTATGGCCTTATATTTTTTAGTGCTGTTAAAAATTAATTTATATATTAATAAAATTATTTTTTGTGTTTTAATTTAAAATTATATATAAAAAAATACAAATTATAATTTAATTTAATTAAAAATTATGGCATTATAAATATGGGAAAAACTCAACTGATTAACTAATTTTTGTACATCTCATTACCATGGAGGACCTTGAGATAGCATAGCCTCTTCCAATGCTATTGATCAAATAGGTCCAAACCACACACAACACACCAGAAAGGCCTAATTCTGAGAAGGATAAAGTGTCCGTTTGGAAAGCCTCTCAAAATATGATTTTACCTATTGATTTGAGTGTGTTTTGTTTGGAGTTTCAAATCATAATTCTACACATATTCTCAAACTCAATTTAAAACATAATTATTACTTTTCAAAACTCATAACAAGCACATAATAAAACTCTTTTCAAAACTCATTCAAATCAATATTTTAATTTTTTTAAATATTTAAATATTTTAATATTAAATATGTTATGCTTTTTTTTAAATTTTTTTTGAATATTTTTAAATATTTTAATTTCAAAATATTACGATTCTAATTTTTTAAATTTAAAATATTATAAAAATAAATTCAAACTCTATTTTATAAAATATTTTAAATATTTTAATTTTTTGTTATGTATTTGTTACGATTTGGTGTAGAGTTGTGAATAGTATGGATTTTCGAGTTATGCGTTTGGTTATGAGTTTTAAAATAATTTCTTAACTGACTTTGTTTTATGTGTTTGGTTACAGTTTGAGTGTAGAGTTGTTTTAAATTTAAAATTAACATTTTAAATTAATTTAAATTTTTTTGAATATTAAAATTTAATTTTTAGATTTAAATTTGATATTATTTTAATTTTTGACTTATTATTTATTAGATTATTTAAATTATTTAATATTTATGATTTAATAATTTTGAATATTTTTTTGAAATTTTTTTTATTTTTAGTAGTATTTTCAATTAAAAAATTGATTAATGTTATTTTCTGTTAATAATAATTTTTTAATTGAATTTTAAAAAGAGTTTGGTTATTAGTGTTGATCAGAATTTTCAATAGTGTGAAAGTAGTATGTTTTGTTATGAGTTATAATAATTTAATTAAGTTTTGAAAACTTTTTCCAAAATCATAACCAATAAATTTTTCTTACTTTAAATGTCAAATCAAACTTCAAAACTCAATTCCACAATCAATTCAACCTCTATTAAAACCATACTAAACAAATTTTCTACACTCAAATCATAATTCCATAACTCACAAACCAAAATACAACATACTTTCATATCATATTTACAAAACTCTACCAAACGCAACCTAATTTATATATCATTCATTACTCAAGATCCAAGAATAATTAAAACAAAAAATAAAAATTTTGCCAAACGGGCTTACGAAGTTGAAATCGAGACGTAATATAATTTGTTTTTATCAATTTAAATAGAATGGTTCACGATACCAAACTATAATAAACTACACAATCAAAGGATTTGTAAATTCATACCAACTCAACTTGAGTCAATGCCGAACCCACAAACAAATTAAGAATATTA